CCCCCCCACGGAAGAAAAATCAAAATGGGGGGGGGGGTGTTAATACAAGGCAGCTGTGGCGAAGCCACCGAGCGTGAGAGGCAGCGAACGGGCAACCTTTGCAGACGGGACGTCTGATCCCCGCGAGGAAACCGGACGGGGCCCACAGACTCTGGCAAGCCAAGAGTAATGAGGCCGGACCAAAAAACCCCCAAATGTGATGTGCAAAGAGCGAGAGACCCAAACTGACAGCAATTACAACAGGACATCAGAAACAGCCCGCCACAAAACGGGCCATCGGGGTGCTAATGGAGCACTCCACGAAGACAAGGTGGTCCCCGAGAAACAATTAATTCTTTGCATCAGTCTTGGCTGCAGAGGATGGGAGATTCCCACACCTGAGCCCTTGTGTTTAGGTGATAAATCTGAGGAACTACCTCAGATTGAGGTGTCAATAGAGGAGGTTTTGGACCAAAATGAAAAGTCAGTGTTGGTAAATGCAAAGAAATGCTCATTGGAAAATATAAACCCACTGTACATGCAAAAGGATCTAAATCAGCTGTTAGCACTCAATAAAGCAATTTTGGTGTCATCATGAATAGTCCTCTGAAAACATCTGCTCAATGTGCAGTGACAATCATAAAAGCTAACAATCTTAAGGTCCCCTAAGAAACGTAGATAACACGACAGTAAATACCATAATGCCACCATATAAATTCATGATAGACCTACACACTAAATACCGTGTGAAGTTATGGACTCCTAGCTCAAAAAGGATACATTAGAATTGGAAAAAGTCCAGCAAAGGGGAAAAAAAGAGGGATGGAACAGCTTTTATATGAGAAAGAGATTAAAAACCACTAGAACTGTTTATTTTGGAAACGAGACAATTTAAGGGAGGATACAAAGTGGTCTATACAATCACGAATGGTGTGGAGAAAGTGAGTAGAGAAGTGTTACTTATCCTGTCACATAACAAAAGAAAAAGTTTAAAACAAACCAAAGGAAGTATTTCTTCATAAATCCCATGTGCAGTGGGTACCACAGACTGGGGAAGGCTGTGTCTCCCCAAACTTCCAGGCATGGCTCCACCCATGCGCCATACTCAGGCCTCTTGCTTCTGCTCTATGGCTAACAGCCTGACTCCAAGGTTTGGGGCCATGCTACCTGCCCTCCTGGCATTCTGGGCAGGAGTAGGGGGGAGGTTGTAGTGGCACCACCTGCCCTCCTTCCTGGCTTTTCGGGACTGGGGAGGCTGTAGTCACACTATCCTCCCTCCCAGCACTCTGAACCTGGAAGGACTAGCCTGGGGCAGGGGCCAGCAGCTGCGGGGGCAGGGGCCAG